AATATATATTTTCTCATGTTAAGAAAGTATCAATTATTATAATCTTAAGTTTTTTTTTATCAGGAAATGGTGTTGATTTTTTTCAAGAGCGCTTTTTCCAGCATTTATGAAGACAATCATATATAAAGTTTTTCTTCTTAAAATGTTTAACATGGCATATTATACTAATGAATTTTCTTCTTTTGAAATAACCTTGCATTTCTGAAATAAATTTTACTTAGTCATGCTTTATTTTTTAAAAAGTGGAATAGATTTTTTTCTAATATTTACAATTTTGGCATCAATATTCGTAACTGATACCAAGTTGTGATTTTCTCTCTTGTACTGTCTTTATCAGGGTTAGGTTTTTTTGCTTTATTTTTGGAGGGGTGGTGGGGTGGCTGAAGGAAAGTGCAGCGTTTACTGTAAAGCATCAGACAAGGAGTCTGGAGCAGCTAATGCTCAAAAAAAACACAAACTTATCAGGGTTAAGTATTAATGTTACACTTGTTTCATAAAATATTAGGATGTTTTTCTTTATTTTCAGTGATCTGTGACATGTTAACAATGGCGCATTGGGACTATGTGATATCTGAAATTTTGACAGTGATTTTCATTCAGCTTTCTAGCAAAAAAATGAGAACAGTTGTATTTCCTTCCCAGTAAGTTGTGGAATCAATTAAGTGATGGACTTGGGAATCCTTTACAAATGGCACATCACTAATAACATGTTAATCATTGTAATTCATGTAAGAACACAGTGTGGTGCAGAATGGGTAAATAAATCTGCCTCAGTTGGGAAAGAGAGAGATACCTGAGAAGGTTTCACAGAAATTTCCTTAGTTCCATTTTGGATAAGGAATAAGATTTCACTGAACTGAGAAGTAAATATTCCAGGTAAAGGAAAGGGCATAAGTAAAGATATTGAAGCTTATGACTTTAAAATTTGCTAATTTTGTGATATACAGTAGTGATAGACAGTTGACACTTTACATGTATTAGTTAATTTGATTTTGGGGGGTATAGACAGGTGTTATTTGCATCTTAAGGTCAGAGAGGGCAGTGACTTCACAAGTAAGTGACAGAGACTGGAACAGAAACTGGAACAGTTGATAAACATTTGGGGCATTTTCTGATGATACAATAAAGCCACAATAAATTTTTGTTTCTTTTGCACTTCATTCTGTTCCTCTATTATTTTTGTGTACTATATAAACAACTATTACCAATGTGTCGTGTTGTTTTATGTGATACCACATTGTCATTCATTGTTTCTTAATGTTTTCCTTATCTTTACAATTAAACTGTATCTCCTTTTGATAGGTAGAGTACACATTTGCTGTTTAGACTTTGTATAGAGAGAAACCCAATTTTTATTCTTGTGTTCTACTTCCTTCAGGTAGCTCATAAGTTTCAAGGGAAGCTAACACTCTACCCTCCAACCCTCTAGACAGGGAGAGCTCAGATTGTCTCAAGCCAATCAGTAAATCCCATTGCTCTGGCCACAGTGATTAGCTCAGGACCCAGTGTGAGCCAGTAAGACTAGAGGCTTCTAGGAAAGAAACATCCTTGCTCTTTCCCACTGGATCTAACAGGGCACATGAACAACCAAATAGGAAACACAAGAAGTGAAACCTGCCAAGAATGAGCCTAAAATAAGGGAGCAGATTAGGGAGAAACAAACCAAGTCTTGAGCTACCATTTTAAACCTCACCTGAAGCCAACATAGCTCAGGATTTTTCAAACACATAAGTCAGTAAATGCTGTTATTCTGAAAATCAGTTTCTGTCATTTTCAATCAAAGATCCTACTTGGTATAAGTTAGATAATGCTATGTATATCTGATGTACCTCATTGGTAGCAAAGAAGTGGGCAGAAAATCATTTATTGAACTTTTGTGAAAAATACAAACATGATACAGTGTATTCATTTATTCATTCAGTACACACTTGCTGAGTGTTTATAATGCCACTGGTACATAGCTATTCATATAGAAAAATTATAGAATTGAACTCCCATTAGTATGGTTTGGGGTTTATTTTTTTACAGATGACCATTCATTCATTGACTCACTCAATTCAAAAAATGTTTTTTGAGCATCAACCATATGCTAGTCTAGTATTTCTCAGAGACCATTTCCCTTGGGACTAGCAGGACTCATTTGAGGGGAACATATCGGTTAATGACTACAAAAATGAATTCACATTACCAGTCCAAATGACAGAATTAAAACTTTGCACCATAACCCTATGTCCAGGCAATTGGTATCACGAATTTGATGTGAATCACTGCATCCTTCCTGTCACACATAAATACACCCACATACAGTAGGTAGTAATATTTTTGTGCATGTTAAAAATCTGCACAAGAGAATCAACATGTATTTTTATTTTTTACAAACATTCTTCAGATCTGTCATGTCCACTTATCAAACTCTTATTAATTTCTTTAAAGGGTTATAAAATATTTCACCTATTAATTTTTTAAAATCAATACTCATATTGATGGACTTTATGTTTCTTCTACTTTATCACAATCAATGCTACATTGTACGTTTAAGTACACATGCCCTTGTGCATGAATTTATCTAAGGTATTCACATGCAAGTTGACTTGCTGGGTTATTGGGTACCACAGAGGAACACTTCCTAGATATTCCTTTCCAAAGAGGTTGTTATCAACTTAATTCCTATCAGCAGTGTATGAGCAATCTCTTCTCTCCACATCATTGACAACATTTATTTGCATTTTCAATCTGAAATTTTCTAATCTCAAGCCACCTTTGACAACTGCCTCAAACAGTATCTGCAATATAGTTTCTTATGCCACTAGTTGCCTCAGCATACTTCTATTAGCTAATTTCTACTAAAACCCTGTGCTACAAGACACCTTCATGACTCAGAGTCCACTTTAATAAATTAAAGATTCTAATCCCATATTCAACTAGTAAGTAGCCTGTCAGATTCCCATGACCAAAATGTTGGCTAGGTTTCAAGATTAAAATTTCTATGTGTTTTTTTAAAGCATGACTAACACATTTTTACATTTAAGATCGGTTGATACTAGATACTCATGAAAGAAAAAAAAATTAGGTTTTAGTCATAGCTCCAAGATTGAAGTTACATTTTTATATGAAAAAAAAAATAAAGACACCAGCACATGGTGCATCACTAGATAATGTACAACAACCTTTATGCATCACGGCCTGGATGAAAAGCTCTGTGTTTTTTATGCCCTTTTCCCTCTGGTGCACCCTGAGTTCCAGCAGACTGGGCTAGGTTCCATTCCTATTCCCACCTGGGTTTTTGCTCATCTGATAGTCCTCTGGAGAATGTAGTGCATGGCGGACAATGATTTTTCACAGCCCACTTCAAGATGACACAGGTGCTGGTGTGTCCATGCCAAGCCATGCCAGAGAACAGGTTCTCCCCCCACACCAAGGTGATGTCCAGTTTGTGCATCTCCAACTGTCTGTCCCTGTGGAACTTATGGATTTTTAAATCCTCTGATTTCCCAGTGCAGTCAAACAGCTGATTCCCAGAGAATAGGTACTTCATTCAGATATAGTGATGATCACAGAAGGAAGCATATCCATTACCTCTAATGCTTTCTTTCTTTCTTTTCTTTTTTTACTCTTTTGGTGTCTAATGGCTTTTTAAAAATATATATTTGTATTGAAGTATAGTCAGTTTACAATATTGTGTCAGTTTCTGGTGTACAGTACAATACTTCAGTCATATAGGAACATACATATATTTGTTTTTGTATTCTTTTTCATCATAAGTTACTACAAGATATTGGATATAGTTCCCTGTGCTATACAGTATAAACTTGTTGTTTATCTATTTTATATATATTAGTTAGTATCTGCAAATCTCGAGCTCCCAATGCTTTCTTTTGAGGAGGACTCTTTCTGCCCTAAGTAACTCAGTCTCAAACTCAGCCTGATTGGCTACGTTATAGTATCTGCAGCTGATACTATTTTCCCTTGTAAACGGGAAGGGGATCCTCCCATATTGTCTAATACAGTACCTTATTTTTAAATTAAATTAATTGTAGTTAAATTGAAATTCATTTCCTCAATCATCGTAGCTACATTTCAAAGAGCTCCAGAGCCACATGGAGATACTGAATAGGACAGCACAGATATGGAGACTTTTCATCATTGCAGAAAGTTCTATTGGCTAAAAATGCTCTCTAGAACGTACAAAGAGTATTTCCATTTCAGGAGCAAATTTGGCCCTGAGAAGAGACTAGATGCCATTTGATTAGGTAAATATTCTGTAAGGTCACTTGGGGTAAGTTAGGGTGATACCCTGAAGGGACATAATTGGAGAACAAAGAATGGTTGTTCTTCAAGCAATGATAAGGATTTTGTTTATATTACTGGTGTGTGTGTGTGAGCATATATATATATATATATATATATATACATATACATATACATATATATGCTGAGGTCATAATCTGATTGGCTTGGAACATACAAGGCATTTTTAGAGGCTGTGTAGAGGCTGAGGAAGAGAACGGAGACCTGGTTGTTGGCAGCAGCTAGGGAAGACAGCCAGGATGTCTAATGAAGAGATAAGTAAGTGTGCTGTGGCAAGTGCAATGCAACCCTTTCCTCCATCTCCTCCAAAAATCTTGTTAAAATGTACATTACTCATCAGTGCTTTGGGAGTCGAAAATGTTGTTTTTGCTGAGTCTGCTCTCAACATGAGTATAGTGAAGGTATAACGGTTCTTTTTTTTAAAATAATAGTTCTTAATGTCAGAGGGGCACAGTAAAATGGGTACTTTTGTACTTTTGGTGGGTGAATACATTGGTTCAAACATTGTGAATAGCAATTTGAAAATATGTTTCAATAATTAAAAAGTAGTCATACCATATGATCTAATAATTTCACTTCCAGTGATCACGTTTATCTGAGAACTCAAATGAAGATCTATCTAATGTCTATCTACTTAATGTGAAAAAAATTATATAAAATATAAGCATCAGTAAAAAGGAAATGGTTAAGTAAGTTGTAGTGCATTTATATTATAGAAATATATACAGCCATTCACAACGTTTAAAATATGTTTAATGAAATGTTTAGGATATAATGTTAAGTTTAAAAAAAGCAGAATTGAAAATTATAGTGTAATCCAAAGTAGTCAAAAAATGGCACACACACATACACACACATGCTGATTCCTAATTATGAGATTATGAATTATCTTACTTTTCTTCAACTTTTTGTATTTTCCTATTTTTGAACAATGAATAATATATCATTGTGATAATCTTTGAAAATACTGGCTAGAGTAATGAACTAAAATTTTGTGCAGTTGTCGTTTTAGATAGTTATTGGAATAATAATTTCAGTTCCTGTTTGAATTATTGGGCATATGGGGAAGGGTGAATATTCTTTAATTAACTCCGTTTTTAAGGATGATTTGGTCCTCTTTTTATTAAACTATCAGGGACATTTAGATAGAATAAAGGAAAATCAAAAAATAAAGAGCTAAGATAATAAGTAAGGCATAATTCTTGGAAAAGTTATAACTTTATTGCCCTTTATTAAAAATGTGAGATATTCCCAAATTTTTAATCTTTTATGAAGTCTTTTCTTGCCGTAGAAATGTTCTACAGAAAAATACAGTATCTTCATATGAACCAAGTTGTATTTTCTCTCTTTTCTGAGAGTTTTTACAAAGAACATCTATGGATGCTTTTGCTATAGATTCATTTACCTGGCAACTTAGGTTTATAAAGTTTATGAAAAAACAAATTTAGGAAATGCTTTTATTTTTCTTTCTTTATTTTTCTTTCTATGTTTATCATAAAATTCTCTATCACACTTCTATAGGATAATCTCTACAGCTTTAGAGTGACACCAAACAGCTTTTGAATTTATCAGTTCAGCTACTAAAGTAAATTGGTTGAACAAAACCCATAAAATTTCAGACAGGAGTTTAATTCTTTAGACTGCAGATTTAAAAATAATATCCTCATATGTATTTTGGAATCAATGTCAGTCATTTGAGAACTAATTCCTTTAAGTAAAACATTATTTAAAAATACGTAAATTGATTTATATTATATGATAACACAGTGATCTAATAACTTTAGAGCATGTTTATGAAAAGGTTATACATAACACAAAAGTATTATCTTTCTTTAAAATATGAAAGTAATATCAATCTTGCCTGAAAAATGTGCATCGAAATGTAGGATGGGATTCTACTGACTTACAATTCTCTGGAACATTGGCAAAGGAAATTTAATGGGCATGACTCTGGACCTTTGAGAAGTTATGTATAGTTTAAAGCAATAAAAACAAAATTGAATATTTAGTTAATATGTCAGATGCACAATAGTTTTAAGCTAAAATATGCACTCTATTTGTATTTTTAATTTTTGTGTGTCAAGTGGTGTCATCAAGTAGATAATGATAATCATTTTAATGAGTGAAAGAAGAAAAGCACAGATTATTCTTGTGATCAGGAGGAAAGGAAAGAGAAGTATTAACATAGTAGTAATTACCTGAGCAGATGGATTCCTAATCCTAGAAATAAACATGCTAATTAAGTTCCACTACAGAATGACAAGATATTAAGGCCCTCTGAGTCTGGAGAGATGCTTATTCTAATTTACTAGTGTAACTTAATTCTCATTATATTAAAAAGTACTTAATCAACCAAATCTTTTTTAATTATCAAATTTATTTAGGCAGCCTTAATGTTTCTGTAAATTTCTTCCAAGTGTCAGTTAATATGGGGGGCAGTTTTTGTTTCCATCAGTATATTTATGATTTGTTCGATATTTGCATTTTTCATGGAGAAGGACTGAGTTTTTTGTATCACTAACAAGACACACCTTCCGTGTGCTGTCGATGTGTTTTTAACTGGGGAATCAAAGATCATAATGTGGACCCTTTCCTAACTACCCTATGCTGCCTTCCTTGAAAGATAAAAAAAAAATCATTATTAGTAATTGGAATTTGAAGTCCCTTCACTTATTTAGAAGAGTTACAGATTTTGATACTTCTGTAACCAAACATTTTGGAGGAAATTAACAGGAAGGATGGGAATAAAGGATGATAAATCAAAGTTTGTGTGAATAGGTAAATGTGAGAAGGAAGCAAGGGGACAGTAGTGTTACTTTCACACCTACACGTGTATGAGAAGCTTAAATTATCTAACCAGTAACTGATCAACACAAAGTAGTTTTTGGAAGGTTACCTGGAATACATATAATTAGCATGACATTTCTTAGTGGTTAAATGCATGTCTTTATGGGAGAAATAGACTTTTAGGATAAAAAGACTCATTTTGGAAAAACATTCTAGAGAGAGAGGGGTTTGTTTAGTTTCTAATTGTTTCCCTAACTGTGTGGGAGTGTGTGTGTCGGGGTGGGGGTGGGACAGGAAGAGTTGTCACTTTCCTCTACTTTTTCCTACACTTATATTTTAGTTGTAAACATGCTATGCATTTCTTTTATATCTGGAGATGTTTTAACCATACTAAAAAGTGGGAAATATTTAAGATAGTTATATCAATTTTAATACGATTCAACAAGCATGTGTTGAATAACTATGATATAAAAAACATAGGATTGGCAATACAGAGCTATACAACCTTAAAAAATACATGGTCCCAAGCACCTAGCCCTTGCTACTTAAAGAGTGGTCCATGGACCAGCAGCAGAGGCATTTTCTAGAAATTGTTAGAAATACAGAATTTCAGGCTTCTAAACCACTCTAGCCCTCTAAACCAAAATCTGCATTGTAACAAGATCAATTCAAATACTTGATTCAAATGCACATTCCATTTTGAGAAGTACTGTTAGATAGAACACCATAATCTAAGGAAAGAAATAGACATTTACGTTTTTTAAAAGGCAGTCCTTTCATAAGGAATGCTCTAACAAATACTCTGGGACAGTAACAGAACCTAATTTTGGTTACAGGGATTTGCAGTAGTTTTTAATCTGCCCTTTTCTATGTAATAGTTTCCACATGATACATCAGCATTTTCTAAAGTGTGTCTCTGGTCAAATATGTTTGAGAAGCAGCGCTCGAGGTATACTACTTCTTTGAGATGCCTTGTTCACAATAGTACGTTCAAGGTTTTAGGGAGTCCTGAAATAAATAAGTCTGTTTTACTTAAGCCCAGGATTCCACAAAAACACTTAAACGTGCAACTTTCATTTTCTTTGCATGGCACTATTAATATTACTCAGAACTAGGGTTCTATAGAACACACGTTGGGAAACACTGTATTTTATGACTCTGAACATTTTGCTCATGGATTCTTTACAACAAATCTTCTGCTCTCCATTAATTTCTCTTGTTTCTTTTTATAGTTAAAAAGTATTCTGAATAAAGTCAACCTTGAATATAGGAATGAACAAAAAATACAATTTAACTTGGACACAATATACATAATAATATAGAAAGTCTGAAGCAAATTAATTCAGCTGCTCTGTTAAAAATCATCCAGATCTGGATGGATAAAATTGTCTTTGAACAAACAATATGCTAAAGTCTGGCCTCCACAAATCATTGAAATTAAGCCGAATCCTGCAAGTAATGAAAGAGAAGTTTTGGTTAACTACCAATAATGAATTATTCATTGGTGAGATTATGAATAAGAACAATTGTTATGACTGAAATAATGTTCCCCAAACTGACATAAAGTATTTGAAATAAAGGAGTTTATAGATGCAGCTAAGAGAGAGTAGGTATAGATTCTGCACTGGTAAATTGTTGAAATTCAAAACTTCCTTCAGGGAATAAGTGCATGGTTCTGTCAAATTAATAGTAAGGAGCTCTTAAAACTCAGAAATTCAAAGGCAATGAAGTCAACGCACATGCCAAGGAATTTACAATTCTCAATTTTTTTTAGCCCTTCAGACCTGCCATTTGTTTGTGTTGTTACTATTTTAAAATATTTAATAACTTTTTTTTGCCTCTAATTATAAAAGGAAAACATGCTTACTAATGTGGAAAATATTTTTGAGTATAGAAAAGATTTTGAAAACAAGAATTCCACCTACCTGAGCTATTTGGTTTTATGAAAATGCCTTTAGCTCTAATTTTGTTGTCCAATGATTCTTACTTATTTTAAAATACTAGTCTGGCTTTACAGGGCTTTCATAAATCTGTTGTTCTGTGTATACTGGTACTGCATAACTCCCATGAATATCTACCGTTCCTAAGGTAAGAGCCCTTGGTGACTCAGAGGCCTGCAGGACTGCACAGCTCACGCAAAGATGCACATCCCATGTGGACCACGAGATAGAACTTACAAGGTGGTCAGCCACTATTCTCTTACATCTAAATTGTTAACGCAAAGAAAAACAAAGAAGGCTACCTCAGACATCACTTGACAACTGTCCTCTGAGTAATCCAAACTTGATTACTGAATCCGAAATTGTTACCCAACTATTATTTTAGCAAATTCTGTTAGTTGTTCTATTATGCCAAAGTTGATTCTCCTTGTCTTCAGGGTTACATTTGCTATGTGACTGAGCTGGCTAGGCCTCAATAAATTTTATGGTATTGTAAATAAAACCCCAAAGAGAGTTGTTTTTCATAGAGAAAAGATGATTTCCACTTAGGTTCATGAAAGCATTTCTTTCAGTATCTTTTTTTCTAATTTATTAAAAATTTAGATCTTGGGAAGGCTTATGCAGAATAGAACATCACTTTCGTCAAGTGTTTTCTGTATACACTAAACGACATTGGAAAATTATGGATATGCATGGTAAATGGAGAATTAAACTCTAGTGAAGGGGGCTAGTAGGTAATATAAATAATATTGGTACGATAAACAGGTAACTCGACTCCAGGGAAAAGAATGGGGTAAAGTGCTGCATTTCCATTTCTCATCACTAAGCATGACAATAATCAGATAAAAACCATTGCCAAGTTTACTGCAAAGAGGAAATCTAAACATATTTTGTGGTCAGTACCTGGCGTAACATAAAGAAACAGCTTTAGAAGAGTCACTTTCTCTTGGTTAATTTTCTTACTGCATATGTGATTGATGAATTCATTCATTCAAATGGTGGACAGAAAAAAACTAATGAAATAAAATAATTTCCTTTCTTCCTGTACTACTACGAAGACAATAATGCCATTCATGTAGAGAGAAAACCAAATGAATATGTCACAAATATATATACAGTGTTTTATTCCCTATAATTTTAGAATTTTAAAACCCTTGAGTAGTCTTCTGGTCCAATTACCTGACCCACATAAAAATATTTTTATGGTCCCAGTTTATATGTACATATATATTTATGTGAAATAAGCATTATATACATATATATATGTATAATATACATGGGTATTACATATATATATTTAAATACCTAAAGCAGCCCACCAATGTGATGTCAAGGGGAATTCCAACATAACTGCAACAGAAAAAAAAGGGCTTGTTCATTTTCAAAATACACATTACTGTTTTGCTCATGAAGAAATACTTCTGCTTGGTCAAATCGTAGCCACATAATAAAGAGAAATCTTGTCCACATCCATGAAATCAAGTAGCTCCAAAGTGGTACTTAAGTCATTGTCTAAAAACGTCATTTGTTAAGTCATATATTTGAAACGTCACTCTTAGAAATGGATGTCCTGAATTGTCAGGTTCTCAGGTCAATTCACAAAGTTGACTTGAAATAATACACAGCAGAAATGAGCCTAAAGCCATCCTGAATCCTCAGTGCCTGGCTCTCTCTGGAGTTCTAAGTGACTTCACTACTGTGAACTCAATTCTGTTGAGCAGTGTTTGTTACGCATTCTCTACGTGCCATGTGTTAAACAATTAACTTGTGACTTTTCTGTATCCAGAACCTATTGCCTGTCTTGACCTTGAAGACTGAGCTGCCGTATGCTCCCAAACCCTTTTGCAAATGTCCTGTGGCTGCCTTCAGGAATACTTAAGCCCTGAAGTAAAATAGGGAATTTCAGGTGGGGTTCAGTGGTTTCCCCAAGTTACTGAAAGCCTTTGTGTCTGAGGAAATTGATGCTAGAAGACTGATATACTAGCATGTTCCAATAGCATTGATGCTGAGATGCAGCAATTCATTTAAAAAATTGTGTGTTCTTAAGTTGGAGACTGATTATACCCATCAGTAGATCAAGGCAATGAAAATATGAGTGATAGTTAAATAGTTAATAAATAATAATAACTTTGAATTATAAATTGTGGTTGAAGACCACCCATATTTTCACTAGTATTTTTTTTTAATAATGGAAGACAGTAAGAGAAAAAGTTACAATGGACAGGTAAGTTTTGAATAAATGGATGAAAGAATGGGTGAAACTATCAATTACTGAGTAATGATTGTAGGCTAGACACTGTGTCAGACAAGTTCTCATTCTCACTGAAACTTCACTAGGCCTCTCCCATTCTGCAGAAGGGAAACTAATGTAAGGATGTTGTGCCTTGCTTTAGACCAAACACCTGGTAAAAATGTAGGACTGAAGTTTGAATCCATTTCCTTCCAACTCCAAGGATCACAGGTAGCAGTAAAAACCCTTTAGTCTAAGAACCTGATTTTCTTGTTAAAATAGTAACTATTGTTCGGAACTTTGCAAGCCTGCAAGTACAGGTTTCCTCGGGTCCCAGTTCCCAGTCTTTGGCCAATTTCTCCCTCAGGAAAGCATTTGGAGGAAAAGTATTTAACAGAGGCAATCAATTGACAGCAAGTTGAACATGAAGGCAGGCTAAGTAACACCTACATTTCAGTACAGTTTTGAATTGGAAGATGGAGCTAATCAAAACCTCTCTGAGGAATTGGCAGAAGAGCTTGGTGGGGAGGAGGTGAAGAACTTTTATCATCAGTTTTTATCATTTAGCCATCAGAGAACAGCATACGTATAACAAAGTTCGACTCTTACGAATCGATTTCGGTACACCACCAGATTGAACACATTTTGTTTCCTTTATTTTGTTTTGCTTACCAGTGGAAGTGATGGCAACATGGAGAATAGTTACTGAAATACCATAATCCCAAACCCACTCTTCCACAACCAGAACGAAAAGCAATCCGCAGATGAAGTAGGTGACCTCTGTTGAGACGAAAAGAACTGCAGATAAAAGGAAGACTATAATTATTTAGGCTTAGAGCAACTAATAATCCTGAAACACAATTAGTAACAGGACCGATACAACTTGTTCTGCAAAAAAAATTTTGATAAGAAATTTTTAATGTTCCATTCTCTTCACATTCCTCAAATTTGAATAATAACTTAAAAATATTCCATTTCTTAATAATTGTTAGGCTTATAGAAAAATAACAATACATCATTTCTGTTTTATATTCTTTATACTTAGCATTTCAGAAGTAAAATACAATAAAGAAAAGTTGCAGTGTAACCAGTGCACACCGACCTGTAACTAGATTGCAAATTTCATTTGAAGATACATTAAAAACTAACGAAAAATTCAGCTCTGGGTTTTTAGAAATGAAAAAAAAAAAAACAAAACAAATGTAAGAGTTTATTGAACAATAACATTTCTTTGGTACCAGTTATTGCCTAACTTGGAAATGAGTTCCTTTGTGTTTTTGTAATAAAACAGTATGTTCAGATAGTCATCTGGGAAACATAACCGATAACCATGAAGGAAACAATGTGTCTTAAATGACTCATGTGGATGGAGGTACTCTTCTCAACCAGCAGTTGTTTCAGAGTGTTTTCCCTGAACAAGGATAAAGAGCTAGTTATTGACAGATCAGTACCACAAATCTCCCAGAGCCTTGAACATATGAAGAGAGTCAGCCTTTGCCTTTTGTCTTTGGTAAGGATCTTAACGACTCTGGTAGTTTTGAGGTAGTTTTGGTAGTTCGAAGATGAGATCCATCAAACTTTAAAATGACATATATGACATACCACCACCGTCTCTTTGTGTGGATATCACTTTCCATAAAAATTACCGTTCTTTCCTTTTAAAACACAGCAAATGACTGGTATGTTCATATAATTCAGGAATTGATAAATATCAGTAGGCAAACTCCACATTTTTCAAAGCAAAAAGTAAAATAGTCCCATTATGTTTTATTGTGCATGAGTAATTTATTAATTGGCATGCCAGCAATTGCCTAGTGGGTGAGCAAGACACTCAGCACGTGCCAGCCTTTTTGTTCCTCTTTAATTCTATTTAACTCAACAAGTTTCGAAAGTTGAATGGAGAATTCACACTAGCTCCTTTTCTGTCATATGGAAATGCAATTTCAGCATGTCCTGCCCTCTAAAGTCAGGGCTGTGGAAAGAACTACACTGACATGACCTCTTTCATCACATTTCCACTGCTACCTCCACTAGTGGTTCTCAGAGCCTCCCCCTGATTAAAGGGAAACAGGGATGCCTCTTTTATCAGCATTTACAGATTTTAAAGGTTAACTTGCAGGTGCTTAGAGAGAGTGATTTTAGTCCTGAACAAGCTGTATTTGCTTATATTGATAGAGAAGGCTTATGTTTTGTTTATGATAGGAGAGACAGCATGATTTTAAGGAAGTCATACACAATTTGATGTCAGGATACTGGTGTTCCAGCCTCACCTTATAACTTGAGTGGTATAATCTTGAATAGGATTTTAACCTCAGGTGGTCAGTCTGTTACTTTCTCTATAAGTTGGGAAGTGGAGTACTACCTTATCTACCTCAAAAAAATTGTTGGGAGGATTTCATTTATTTATTTTTATTTTTTTATCAGTCAATAGTTTTATTTTTGGACGCTCAGACTTGTTTTCAGTTAGAACCTATTCAATTATATTAAATATAAGGATGCAAGTCCCCTTTGGTTATTTATTTATTTGTTTGTTTATTTATATTTTTAATTGAGTTATAGTCAGTTTACAATGTGTCAATTTCTGGTGTATAGCACAATTTTTCAGTCATACATGAATATCCATATATTCATTTTCATATTCTTTTTCACCATGAGCTACTACAAGATCTTGGATATATTTCCCTGTGCTATTATACAGTATAAACTTGTTTATCTATTTTACACATGCCTGTCAGTATCTACAAATCTGAAACTCCCCAGTCTGTCCCTTCCCACCCCTCTCCCCCCAGCAACCACAAATTTGTATTCTATGTCTGTGAGTAAGGAGTTTGTATTCTATGTCTATGAGGAGGATTCTATTTTTAATGAAAGCAGTTTGTAATCTAGTCTCTGTGACACAAGGGAAAGGTATCAGTAGTCAAATGTCTCAACCAGACTCACATTTCGCAGTGTTCATGCTAAACCTGACATCCTCGGTGACAAAACTGTGGAAACAGACAAGAACCCTGACCCTCAGTACATGCCCAGGGCTCTGAGATTTAGTCTTCCATTTTGTCTCCAAGATTAAACAAGTCCTCAAAGTAACAACTTTAAAGAGTTATGGTACCTGTCTCTCCACGCCCCAAAACGAAACATCGAATAGGCTGAGGGTTTACTGATGTCTTTGTACACATGTTAGTTGTTTTGCGAGAGTAAGGAGCGATGTAAACTGTGCCAGGCATCCTGAGGCTCCTCGCTGTTCTCAGCTATGTCAGAACACAGCTTTCTCCAAGGAGCCTGTGTCATCCTCCTGTCCTCCATTGACTAACTCAAGGGCAAGAATTAAGTAATGGCAGCTGAATTTCAAATCTTTCTCCCCACCCCAACCATACTCACAACCCATACTTAACTCTTTCCTGTGACTATTTCTTTATCATTTGTGGATCGACTTGGAAGAAAAAAGTTAATTCAATCTTCAATAGGGAAATGCATGATAAGAAAATTAATATAGAATGTTAGAACTCTTGTATCTCTTTTGAATGAAAGAGTCTTGTCTGAACATAGTCTGTCTATCCCAAATTAAATCAATAATGGCACCAAACAAGGGTACCCATTGCAGGAGGCTCTTCTGAAGCTTTTTACTTAAATTCAGTAGTTCTAGCTGACCGAGTTTCCTATACAAGTCACGTGTGGCTTCAGGCAATTTGTATATATTTGCATATTTGTTCCAAAAATAGATGTCCAGTGGCTTTCTAAAGAATTGTAATGTTTGAAGAATCTACAATTCATTAAATGAAAAAAGGTAGGAAGAAATTTAACAGAATATTAAGAATAGTTCTATTTACAAAGCTAGTTTGTGATTGATTTTCTTTTTTGGCTCCTTTCTACTTGTAGGTATTTTATAAGCTTTCCTTAAATTACCTCTATTATTTTGTAATGGAAAATAGCATTAAAATCTTATTTTCAGAAAGATGGGCAAACTCATCATAAATAACTCCAAAACAAGTATGTGTAATATTCATTCAATACAAATAGATGTTACTGTTAACGTACATAAGGCTTATGAACTTAGTAGGTATTAACTAATAATTATTTCTTCAACTAAAACAGTGAATTTAAAAGAGACAATATTTTCCTAATGTATTCTTTCTTAATATTTTTCCTTTGCATTTTGGGGAAGAAAAATCAAACTAAGCAGAAGTGTACAAAGCAGAAAATGAAAGTCCTCTGTCATCCCAGCTGGGAGATAACAGTTTGTTGCATAATTCTCCAGATTTCTTACCACTGACATAATGTATTTTACTCTAGTCTACAAAAAAGAATAATTATACTATACAAACTCTTTTGTAGTCTTTGTTTTCCATTTCATATCTCACAAATATCTTTCTACATCAGTCCATTAAGCCATTCTTCCTCTTTTTCTTTGGAAAATATTTAATGCATAAAAAGTTTACCCATAATATCACCAAAAAATCATATAGCAATACTATCCACCTATTTCACCCTATTCCATCTTTTAGGAACAACCATTTAAAAAATTCTAATGGCACTTTTCTACACTTCTAAAGTCAGATATAGGATGCAGATGGCTGAGAGGAAGGCCTGATAATTGAAAAATTTTTTATCAAATGAAAACTATTTTGATTTTTGGAGCCCTTTAGTTCACTAATTAACAAGATTTAGAACTAAAACCAGTTACCTTTATAATTTGTGTTGAGCCATGAGGGATTTGTTTTGAAATCAAATGGTGCCAGGACATCCAACTCGTACACCCTGAAGATGTTACAAATGGAAAGAGTTTACGCTGGAGGAGGCAGTTCATAACTTTGCACATCAAGGTTCTGCACATCAGTCTTCCCATTCAAGGATAAGTCATTAGCTTTAATCACTTGGTGACACATTTGAAAACTGGCTGACTTGGATGGCAGCCAAATAACCTCTTTATCCACATTGTCTTCTTTGGGCAATTAAGTCCATTTTGTCCACCAAGTGGACTTCATTGCATTTGAGATCTCAGCTGTAATCCTGGTGGTCCCTTCCATCAAATGGGGGAGAAGAAATGAACAATGTGATGAGGGCATAGACTGGGAAGCAGCAAGACCTGGGTTATAATCCTGATGGAGCCGTTTACTGTGAACCAGGGCAAGTTGCTTAACCTCTCTGGGCTTTAGTTTCTTACCTATAAATTGAAAGGATTGATCTCTGAGATCTCTTCCTACTCTAAAATCTGTAAACCATACTACCTCCTACCATGCCAGTTTGTAGTTGTGTGCAGTTGGTCCATCAGTTAGCTGGAGCTGTAAGGCCCAATTACTTCAAATCCCTCTCTGATTCCCATTAACTACAAACCCTTGAAATCCTAGGCTCAGAGAGCCCTGAGTATTCTCAGCGCTTCCCTGATCCAGGCACGGCCTCAACATCTCCAGTCCCAGGCAACAGCTGAGACTGTGTGTGAACACCAGACTCTTCCTCAGTGGGTCTGCCTGCAAGCAAGCTTCATTATTCCGGTTGCAAAGGTCAGTGTAATCATTTCTTGACACTAATTTGCATATTGAAGTTGAAAGGCCCTAATTCCTTGCTTACACAATAAAATTAAATTGTATAAACAATCAACTTCTAGGAAATTCCTTGTAACTGCACATGATTATTTTAAGGAAATTAATGTATTGGCAAGCTAAATCTATAAAGACAAAATTCCACCATAGCAAGACCAAAAAAAAAAAAATTACCTGAAAAAAAAGGCCTCACACTTACGTAAAAATATCTTTAAAACTACATGTGTTACTTTGTCCTCATGATAACCCTCTTTTGGATTATTACCTCCATTTGACAAATGAAGATAATTGAAAGAAGAGACACTATGGCTTAGTCAAGATGATCCAGGAATTAGTAAGAATCTGGGCTGGAGTGCAGGTCTTCTGGCTCACAGTCCAAAGCTATTTCCAGGATACATCAGAAAATATTTAAATTGGATGTAGATTTTCTCTAAATTCCCTTCTAGTTCAAACGTCCTCTGATTCAACACCAGCCCAGGGAGTAATAGCTTCACTTTCTTTCCATGATCATCCTCCCAAGGAAAGAGGACCAGCCCTGCCTGATTCCAGTCACCTCATTTCATGATTGTTACTTCTACTGTTTCCAAAGATGGCACATATGCTTTTTTTCACTTTTTTTAAAAAAGGAAGAAGGTATACCATTTAAAAATCTGCTTCTTCTATCCCATAAAAACATGTTGAGTATTGAATGTGAACCCACTTCATATTGGATCTGAGCTTTGGGTTCTGTGTGAAGGCAATGTGCTACTTACTTGAACATCACGCTGCACATGCCCAGAACCGCGTAGTACACAGCGTAGAAGAGGATGACACACAGGAGAAGGTTCTGCAAGACAACCTGCAGAGAACAGAAGGGTGAGCTCCAAGGGCCTGGGCTTTTTCACATGGTTGTTGGTAACGAGTCTGACAAACAAAAGACAATGGATGAGTGCTAGATAGCGTTGGCTAGCCTTGTTTTGCTTGGAGACCCATGGGGTGGGAAGGATTTCAAAGTGCACAAAGAAAGTGTTGCTGACTGGAAGGCTAACAGTACGTATTTGCATCAAGGATTAATGCAGCACATAAATCCACACCACCTACCCTCTGTCTACCACAGCAAAGTTCCTAAGTGCCAGTATTTATGTTTTTACTTGACTGGATGATTCTCAATCTCAGCCATCATGCTAGTAAAAATATGCAAATGGCTAAGAAATTTTGAAAAGTATGAACAAAAAATTATATCTACTAACACATCAATAGTTAAACCCTTGTGCAAGAATTTACCAAGCAGTTGGCTAAAACACAATAGACAGTCCTGCAATGGACCCTTCCACATATGAGACTTATGAAGGAAATGTTGCAGATGAATGGAGAACAGATGGATTATTCAACAAATAGTGTTGTAAAAATTGTCTAACTTCTAGATAGGGAAATCCCATAAGATTCCAGTCTTGTATGAAACACCAAAATTAACCTCAAATGGATTAATGGCTTAAATGCCAAGAAATACAACAGGAGGAAATATTTGCAACATGTATCACAGGCAAACCACAATTTTTCAATAAGCAAATTGAGTTGCTTCTAGTAACTTCTGCCTATAATCTGCATTCTACGCAGCCTGCAAAAGTAACTTTCTAAAGGGCAATCAGACCATGACATCCCCCCATCAGTGTCCTTTGATAGCCCCCACACTGTCATCAGGATTCATTCATCCATTTTTTCATTTGACAAATTGTCACTGGGCTGGGTGGCAAGGCAGGATGAATTGGATGTGGTCCCTGGCATAGATACCCAATGTAGCAGTGCTTCTCAAATGTATAAATATCAGATGCACCTTGAGGGCCTATTAAAACAGATTTCTGGACCCCAGACCTAGAGTTTCTGACTCAGTAGGTCTGGGGTGGGCTCCATGAATTTGCATTTCTAACAAGTTGCCAGGGGATGCTGGTTCTGCTATTTCTAAGACCACACCTTGAGGACCACTAATCTAGAGGCAGGAATGATGAATATACAGATGGCTACAATTCAAAGAGACAAGCTGTGACTGGGGAGAGCACAGAGTGCTTTAGAAACCCAAGAGAGAGACTAGTGTGTGTGGAGGGTGGGGTAGCAAGGAACATTAGTCCAGGAGAAAATGTTCAACAATAACACTTATTGTAGATTTGCCATGTACCTGGCACCATCTATACATTATCTCATTTAATCCTCGTAAAAATTCTGAAAGGCACCTCTTCATTTAGTACAAGTCTATTATTATTCTTAGAAGAACAATGAGACTCAGAGAGGCCTAGTTACTTTTTCAAAGTTTGTCAGTAAATTTCAGAGCAAGGATTCAAACCTACTCTCTAACTCTTAACCGTTATGCTGAGGTGGGGATGAGGGGTTCTGCTTGAGGCAGAAGGAGAAGTACCTGCAAAGACATGCTGGGTTCTGGGGAGGAGGGCTGAGAGAGAGTTTATAAGAGTTGGGTCAGATCATAAAGGGAACTTAATGCCTTGATGAGGAATTTCCAGTGTCTCTGAAGGCCAAGGAGAGACTGTGAAAGATTTAGGAAGGAGCAGTCTTGATTGGAGAGGGACCATTAAGTAGGGAAAGCACTGAGAGAAATGACAACTTCGTGACACGATAGAGATGTTAGCTAATGCTCTGGTGGTAATCATACTGCAGTATATTAATATATCAAATCACCTTAAGTTAACAAAATGTTATATGCCAATTATACCTCGATTAAAAATGCAAACAATAAAATAAAATACATGGGTTTGTCATACTCTAGGCCAGTAGTGGAGGTGGAGAAGAAGACAGATACGTGAGCTAGTAAGGAAATAGAATCAACAAGTTGTGAGGGTCAAGGAAGCGGGGCAGTCGAGTTCATCCCCTGTTTGACTAGATGGACAATAAGAGAAGGAGCAAGGTCAAGTCGAAATGGTTGGAATGGCAACTGGTGATCTAGCCCAATGCTGTCCAATAGATTTCTACAAATAAATAATATATATTCTATAAATAAATAGACATTATGCAAGCCATGAAGGTCATTTGAAATTTTCTAGTAGCCACATTCATAAAAGTAAAAAAAATGGGTGAAATTAATTTTAATAACATTTTATTTAACCCAATACTTCCAATTTCAACTTAGAGTAAGTATTAAAAATTATTATGGAGATATTTGTTGTTTGTTCACAGTGGATCTTAGAATCCCAGAGTGTATTTTAAAAAAATTTTAGGGGGTAGGGGGAGGTAATTTGGTTTCTTTGTTTGATTGTTTATAATGGAGGTGCTGGGGATTGAACCTAGGACCTTACGCATGCTAAACATGCACTCTACCACTGAGCTATATGCTCCCCCTCCCACCTTGAGTGTATTTTACTTACAAAACATCTCAATTTGGACTAGTCACATTTCAGGTGCTCCATAGCCACGTGTAGCTAGTTGGTACTGTATTAGACAGTGCAGCTCTAACCTTCCAGCCTCACCCCCACAGTGCTGCCCCAAACAGTTAATAGTCTAACTACATGTACTATGTATAGGGGGATGACTATGTGCCAAGCACTCTACCCATGTTTTCTCATTTTATCCACCCTTCCTCGTACCCCACCATTATGGATTTCGGTGACTATCATCTTCATCTCACAGATTTGCAAACTGAAACCAAGGAGGTTAAACTCATGCCAGCTCATGTGGCCTGTATGTGGCAGGGCTCCAATCCAGATCTGTCAGATGTCAGAACTCTCTCTCTTCACCTAGACTTGAAATAAAAGCATTTTGAATAATCAAATCTAGCTCAACACTTTCTTTTTTAAAATTAAGGAAACTGAGACTTGGATAGGTTGAATGAATGGCCCAAGGTCATATTTTATTTAGTGGTCAAGGTGAGTTAGAAAAAAAATTGTATTTCATTACCAAAGGAAAGGCACTTAATATTGCCACCCAAGTGACTGAACTCGTAACTTCATTCTAATACAAATATTATTAGTACACTTTAGGAAAAGCTAATATATAAGGATCAGAATTTGTAGCAGTCTCAATATTTAGCTACTGTCAAATTTTTCATTTATTCTTTTAAAATATATATTTGGAGCTGAATCAAACTATTAAAAATTATGATATTTATGAGACTTTTGGCTACTTGAACTTGACTGTCTATTTGATGATGTTGAAGAAATTAATATTATTAGTATTTAAAGGTGTTATAATGCTGTGATTATTTTTGAGTCCTTATTTTCAAAGATACATATGGAAATACTTGCAGATGAAATAATAAGATTTCTGAGTTAGCCTCAAAGTAAAAGGTGGTAGAATAGGGGGAGACGCAGATGTCACAAGACAAATGAAGAGAAGAGTGAAAGGTCGCTGTCAATTCCAGAAGGATGGAATGAATAGGACCTTTTCCTCTTGGGCTTATGCCCAGTCAGACCAGTATAGGAACTGGCAAGACAGCTGAGTGAGACATGCGGCTGGGGGGCTCAGGCTCCACTAAAGCTGAGTCCTCAGGGTTCCACCTGCACATATTCACACTCTGCCTGGGGTTCCAGCCAAGTCCTTACAAAGATACTGGTCCTGGTTTGGGGGGATTCTGAAACCTCAAATAGAACTTTCCTCTATTCTTTTATAGTTGGTACAGTCCTTCCTTAATTTCCCAAACTCTCCCGAGAGCAAGGACATTTCCTATATAACACAAAATTATTATTATACACAAAAAATTTTACATGGATACAAAATATTTTTTATATAGTGTCCACACCGAAATTTCTCCAATGGTCCACAAAATCTGAGAAACCTAGAATCAATTAAATTTTCACTTATTACATTTGGTTGTCTTATCTTCTTAGTGTCATATTCTGAATGAGGCTGATAGTTTCTTTATGGTTAGAGACTTTGGGGAAGAATCCTACATGGGTAACATTGTGTATTTCCCAAGTATCTCATGTAGAGGTACAGAACATCATTTTGTCTCATTATTGGTGGTGGTCAATTTGATCACTTGGTAAAGGTGATGTCTTCCAGTTCTATTTTAATTATACTGTGTATTTTTTGTAGTTAATAAGTAATCTGTGAGGTGAGATTTGAGACAATGTGACTAGCCTATTCCCTCAAAACATTTTTACCCATTAGTTTTCCTCATCCATTGATAGCTCTGGTTTAAATCAGTTCATTACACTGGTGTTGTGAAATGGTGATTTTCCCATTTTATTTTTTCCTCTACATATCAGCACACATTTGTCTTTATATAAAGAGATTTCCCTTCTTTTCCTTGAACTTATGTATTTACTATTTATTCATCTATTTTTGGTAACTTTTGTTATTTTCTATTTTCTATGTGTTAAAATGCACCAGTCTCATGATTCTTATTGATGCTGAAATTGTCCCAAATTTGACCAGTGTGAGCACCTGCAGGATAGCTGGTGTTCATTTTATGTATCCTCATCATTTCCTTTGTACTTCTTTGCTTTCCATCACAACCTGACATTCTAATGAGATACTATCTTTTTCATTACTATACTTCCATGTAATTTTTTGTCTACTTGTGAGCTTTCCATTCTCTTCCATGACTTTCTCTGTCTTTCTGTCTATTCAGGGATCAATATCACACTGTTTTAATTACAGTAGCTTTATGGTATGTATAAATAGAGTCATCCTCATTGTTCCTTTTTTAGGGTTCTCATGGCTATTTTTATATTTATTTTTTTCATGCAAACTTCAAAATCTACTTGAATAGCTACATAAAATGAATTTGTTATTCTTATTGAAATCATGCTAAATGTACTAATAATATGGGAATAAATGATAGCTTTATAATGTTTACACATGCTATTCAAAACAAGAAAAATCTCCAAATTTATTCAAATTTCTTTTATATCTTTCAAAATTGTTTTAATTTTTCATCACATAAATTTTACACATTTCCTGTTACTTTATCCATAAATAAATTCTCTTTTGGCTACTAATATAACTGAAGTTTTATCTTCTGTTACATCGTCTAATCAACTATTGTTTGTGTACAAAAAGTCTTCTGAGTTTCGTTTTTAGTTTAATGTTCTATTACTTTACTAATTTTTTTATGTTAGTATTTTCATTGACTCTCTTGGATTTTTCCAAATATACTGCAATATCATCTGTAAGTAGAGATAGTTTCACATCTTCTACTCCAATTCTTATGGCTCTATTGTTTATTCTAGTCTGATTGCTTTGACTGGTACCTCTAATATATTTTTAAATTATAGTGGAATTAGTGGATATCCTTGCTTTGTTCTCGGCCTTAATGGGAATGCCTTCGAGTAGTATTATGTATTATACTGGCTTCAGGACTACACTCTGTGTGTGTGTGTGTGTAGTTATAATCATATGTTAACACTAAAGAAGAAATAGTTCTTATTCTATTTAATGTTTTAATAACCAGGAATGGTTGTTAATTTTTCTCAAAGGCCATTTTAGCATCAGTAAAGATGATCATATGATTTTCTCTTGGAATAAATATCACTTGGTCATAATGTTTAATTTTTATGATGAGTTCTTAGATTCTGTTTGCTAATATGTTATTTAGATTTTTACTTCCATACTCATAAGTGAGATTGATTTATAGTTTATTTTTTGTGCTATCTTTATAAGGTTTAAATGACAATATAATTCTTGTTTCATAAAAAGGTCTTGTGGCTTTTCTCTTTCTATACTCAGAAATAATTTCAGTAACATTGGTAGTATATTATCTTTGCAGATTTAGGAGAATTCCTCTGTGAAAACCTGGCCTAGTCCTTTTATAATAACCTCCATTTATTCTATGAAAACTGGAAGACTTTATACGATTTTGCAAAGAATGTTCCAACTAACTAGAATAGCTCTACTCTACAGAGCAAATATCTGTATATCCTTCAAGGTCTAGCTCATATATCATATTCACACTCCACCCTCACCTGAAAGACAGAATCAATCCCTCCTTATTTCTTTTACATCTGTAGTGTTATGTGTATGTCATAGATTTAATCACATGTGTTGTAGCTTACTTATCATGGAGGTGAATTTCTCTAGACTCTCAAAGGCAGAGACACTAATTTAATCATTTTGATTCTTCAGCCACAAACATATTGCTTGGTAAATGTTTTTTATATATATAAATATATATATGTTATATATATATAATAAAATGTATATATATAAAAATATATATAAGATATAAATATATATAAATAAATTTTATTTTTATTGAAGTGTAGTTGATTTACAATGTTAATTTCAGGTGTACAGCAAAATGACTCAGTTATACATATACATACATATACATATATTCTTTTTCAGATTCTTTTCCATTATAGCTTATTACAAGAAACCAAACATAGTTCCCTGTGCTATACAGTAGGTCCTTGTTATTTATCTATTTTATATCTAGTAATGTGTATCTGTTAATCTCAAACTCTTAATTTATCCCTGCACCTCTTCCCATTTGGTAACCATAGTTTTTTTTCCTGTCCATGAGTCTATGAATAAAATATACTTTGAATAACAATAAATGAAGAGAAGAAAAAAAAAGATAAAAATGAACGCCCACCTCAGTACGAAGCATAGCCTACTTAGAAAAAATGTGGACTCTAGGATCAAATACTGGTTCTTCTCCAGTCTCTCACTGGCAAGTGTGTGACATTGGCCAGTGACTCTCTGTGTTTTCTTCTACTTATCTGTGAAATATAGGTACAATCTCATAGGGGTTTTGTATTTAGCATACAAGTAAGATTTCTATCAGTAGGTACTATATGTGCTCAACAGGTAACAAAACAACTTGCCCTCCACTTGGCCCCATGTGGAAGCCTGCTGCGTGGTTCTTTGGAAGATTCCTAGAGAAACCATTATATATGGCTCTCTTGTCTGTAGCATCATGGCACAGGATCCAGCCTACTGATGCTAATCCCCTCTAAAAATGTCTATAGGAATGAGATTCTCCAGTTCAGGGCAACAACCACAAGGAAATGCAGGAATGCATTGTGCCTCTGAGATTTTTACATGCAACGTTTGTTTTAGAATTGTAATTTTACATTAGTTGAATGTAACTTTGAAATGTGTATTCCACTGGAGTTCTGAAAAAACAATGCATCGTATCCCAAACAACAACTTAGCAGTTCTCATACCTGGGCTTTCTTCCCAGTTCCTGTGCTGTTTCCCCAGACAGCAAATTAATTAAATGGCCTTTGGCCGTAACTCTTTCCCTTGAGTCAGCTTTTCTCTCATTTAAAGTGTAGAGATGGGGGATTTAATTAGCCCAATGCCTGGCACATTGCATGCACTCAATAAATGTCTATTGAGTTTTGGAATTCTCTTTATAGACAAAGGTCACTTTTGCTATTACTATTAATTTATGAGCATATCAGTAATTCCTCTGCTGATAAAACTGACAATGAACAAGGACTTAAGAAAAGTTAACTCATAATTTACAGGGAGGTATCAGGAGAATTCAGATTTTCAGCAACTCTCCTATTGTCAGCCTATTCATATTGGTTTAATGTTCTAAGGCTGTGATTCTACATATAAAACTCTGAGATTCTGAAAAAAAGTGAAGAACTGAAGCAATTACTTGGATATTTCCACTGGAAGGAGCGCGCGCATGCGCGTGTGCGCGCGCGTGTGTGTGTAAGCCCAGACTAAATATAGAGTCCCCATTCTTTATGTAAGCTACTTAAGGGAAAGGATATTATCTTTTCATTTTTATCTTTCCAATAAAGTTATTATTGCTAGTTCAATCCCAAAACTACATAAATTATGAACAGTTAAAATCCCCTTAAAATAGTTTAAAAATTTTTTTTTGCCTAAAATAATGTTTTTATTGACCTAGAAAATTTTTCTTAGCTATTGCCATACGTAACATTTCTAACTGATGATATATGTTGTGATGGTGGCAGTAAAGAGAAAAAGCTTAAGGAAATACACCCAGCACTGATGTTTTATTAAAATGAATGTAACACTAATTCATAATCATAATTCAATTTTTAAGAAAAAATCAGACTTTCCAGAGTGTCATTCCCATAAGGCTGGATGTTTATAGGCCCAAAGCCTATGTGAATTTACACAGCTGTTTTGAGGCTTTCTTATTTCCTTGTTTTAGGTGCTTTGATTTTTTAAAAGGAGTATTTTTATACTGAAATAAAGCACAACTATTAACACCAGCCTCAAGGGAAAAAGAAACTAACAAACCTACAGATTAAAAATGTTTCAATACTTTGCCTTTAAAATCTTGTACATCCTTTAGAAGTTGGAAAAATGAAAGTCACCCCCTGCCAAAAAAAGACCGAGGACAAACTGTCATGATTTCAGAGAATGACAGCAGAAGTACAGGTGTTCATACTAGAAAGTTTGCCTGTGAGTGAAATCGTACCTCCGAAACAGCCCCTATTTAAATGTTTTTGAATCTTTTCTTGGGCACGAGTGCCTCTGTATTGCCACCGTTACCACACAATACCAGCAGTACTGCAGAACGTTTTCTGCACCGTACCCAGCCAAAAGCGAAACAAGTTGCCTACAGACAGAGAGGCCATTTATAGAACAGATTTGCTTATACCAGTGCTAGGCAGTAACTCAAAAGGCAATGCAAAGAAGTCAGTTCTCTTTACCTTGCTGGGAGCAACTCTGACCTGGAGAGCCATGTACACATCCTACGTCAAAGAGGTGGTGAAAGCCACACTCTTGATGCCGACGACGTCTGGAATGAGAGGCAACTGTTGCGGTGAGCTTTGCAATTACTCCTGAAGACTGTGAGACGCAGTAGTGCAGGATGATTGGATTACACAAAATGAGACAGAAGCCATCTGTGAGCCATGCGTAAGCTGCTGAGTGCCAAAGTGAACGTCCTTATTAGGCAACTGAGTTCTCAGACCAATTGTAGTTTGGTCAAGTTTGAAAGATGAGTTGATTGTTTTTAGACAGTACTGCAGATAGGCAGGGACTTGCAATTCTCCCTGTCTCTAAGAGTAATTAACTGTCTCCTACTTAAATTAGAGACATGGGTATTCAGTTCAGAAGTCTTGGGGTTGTCTCCAAAGGATGCTGCTGCCCCTCCTGTGGAAGCAGGACCTGTCCTCTCTGTTTCATCTGCAAGGATCACAGACTGAGAGAGAAAGAAATCATTTAGTCCCTTTCACATCATAGCAAAGCAGTACAAACATTCTGACTTTCTTTGGGGAAGTGGAAGGATTCTCATAAGCTCTAAAGTAGTGCCTTTTATACAGTCAGTGAAATGTTTTTAAGAACTGCCAGGATGCGGTCAGTCCTGAAACTCTGTGTTTCTCTGTGCCCTCAGGCTCCAGAACCAATCCTTCATTTACCACGTTTCATCACCCCATCTGGTGATTGGTGCTCACATGTAGGTGGGAATTCACCTGTGGTCTGCAGTTCTTTTCCCATTACAGCATCTTCTTAGCCTCCATTTAGATCACATTATGCAATAAATATCACCATACATAACAGTAGAGCTCTGGTAAAGGTGAGAAGAGTGTCTCTAGCAAGCCCCGGGCTTGATAATTTTTCTTCTGAAAATGGTTTCCTTTGGACTTACATATGCATGTTAATAACATTATCTGTGCTCATTATTAATATGCCTTAGATAATTTCTTTAATATATTGCCCTGCATCTCTGCTCACATTGTGAGTTCTTGCAGAGAAAGTCTCTTCTGCCTGCTGGTAATTTTGTAACAGCTCCTAGTGTCTGCCTCAGTGCCTCCCAGTAAAGGCATATGGTGGACCTTCAATAAATGTTGATGGACTGCTTGGATCTCAAGTTTTGCCCCGTTTGTAACAGGTACTTTCTCCCTAAAGAGGGCTGGAGTCATAGCCCAGTGCAGAGCCAAGAACTTGTGCTTCCCTTGCTGTACTCCCAACACACTCAGACTGTTTTGTGTACAACTCAAATTCCATCAGTATTATTTAGTTCAATAGTATCCACCCCAAGCCTGTCCCCTCAGGAAGTTGGCACTGTACATTGGGAGCCAACACTAATTTCATTACAGCCATCCCACTTAAAATGTTGAAAAGTGCTAATTTTCTATAATTATACAAAAAAATTAGGTGGCCAATGGAGTATATTGGGTGGAGACTCTGTGTGTGTGTGTGTGTATGTGTGTGTATGTGTGGTTGAATCTGCAACAATAAATATCTTTTATTTGAACTACTAATGTGATCTATTGTGAGACTATGGCATGATACAGATACACAGACACACACATTCATTAGCTGTAATTCTATTTCCCAGTTTGCCAGTAGATTGATATGATATGAATGTGGTACCCGGTATATGTATATATGTATGTGTATATTTGTACATGTATGTATATGTTTTCCTTTTCATTCAGCACACCCATATGGAAGTTAAAAAATAAAATATGGAAAACTCTTCACCCTCTTGGGTTCTGAATTGTGCCCCTTGACAGTTGATCATGTTTTAAAGTGTTCTTGGTCCTTTTGTGTAACTTGTATCCAGAGTTGTTCTTTGTTTACACTTAGTTTAGCTACTTCCTTCATAGTAAAGACATTCAAAAACTTCAAGGTATTAAAGCAATATTCTTGAAATAATAGTAAATAATCTAGAATTTCTTGCTGAGAAAATCAAAAGAGAAAATGAGTTCACGTCTGTAGTCATTAATCTCACATCTTTGGGGCTAGAGATGTTTCAAATTTCAGAAAACTATGAATTTTAGGCAGATAATAGGATGCATGTAATATTTTACATTACACACCCAAGAGGACTGGAACTTCACTCTGTATTCAAATGCATTGTTTGAGCAGCAAAGTGTAGGAATATTCACTCCAAGCAGGATAGATAAAACCAGTAAACTATGTTAGTTCAGGTGAGGTTTTACCACCAAATTAGTTTGGGTTAGGTAAATTTTCTATCACCGTAAGTGTTATATAGATAGTTAGGTTTCAGGTCTTTTTAGATTTTGCATTTATAGCTAACAAATTGTGGAGATGTACAAATGTAATCATAAGAATCTAAAGATTGGTGTTAATGATTGAACTCCAAATACAATTTTAAATGATATGGTGAAGAAAAAGATGCTACTTTAACAGAGTCAGATTATCCAGAAGAAGTACAGAAGTAAACCTCCTTGCCCCTTGTGCCAGGATTGAATGAAACCAGTTCCCACAATGCTTTCTGTTCCTCTTATTATAGTTGGCTTTGCTTTGGAAGCCCGGCACTGTGTATTTTTAGTTTTAACTGACTTTCTCTAACCCATTTCTCCCTTTCGTGGCCTTTTACCACATCTGTTGTTCACTGCCTTTTTGAAATTAAAATAAAGTATTCTGCAGGATATCACTAAATCATAAAAAAATACTAAGAACAAACAGGCTCTATTTTATTTCAGGGAGCCGTGGAAATACCAATCAAAGTTGAGATAAATTCTTTCTGTTTATAGCCTTAATGGAATTTCCTTTAGGTTTGGGCCCATGTTAAAGAGAAGATATATGTCTGTGCGTATAAGTACACACTGATTTCATTGTTTCAGATTTATTGAGTAATAAATTGTGTCTTGAAAGATGAAGTCACAAGAAGGGACAATACCTCTAAACAGTAGTGGCACAGAATCAAAACCAGTTGGCACGGGCGAGTAGTTATGAATATTTAAGTCCTGATCAGACAGTAATTTTTATACTCCCTCCCACAAACTCGAACCAGGGCCACTAATCCCTGCAAACGTGGACCCCTGAGGCTCAGTGTCTCACTTCCCCTGCTTCTAAGTCAGTCGACCACAGTTCTGGGCCTAGCTTGGAAGAACACCAAGAGGCTACAGAAAAGAGCTGAAGAGGCTACACATTGTGTCAACTTTCAATACTGCCTGGGAAAGAAACGTGGAAGCCAGGGCAAGTTTATCACAGTGGCCCCAGAGTAAAAGTAAGTATTGAATGATAGTCAGAGTCCTGATTCAAAGAATGTGAATTGGATTTTCAATACAGTGAGGACACAGAGTCGGGGGAAGGAGCGGGTCGGGGGGGCACTCTAGAGAAGAGAAACATCAAGTACAAAGGACGTGAGAACAAGCCAGTGAGATCTGCTTTGCTGGGAAATCAGGAGTGAGACTAAGGCAGTGGAGGGATGCTGATGGGCGGAGGCCTCAAAGGACAAATAAGAGAATTGTATTTTGGTTTGAAATAAAATAGCCCTGTTCTTTTTTTTTTTAATTTTATTTTTTATTGAAGTGTAGTTGATTTACAGTGTTAGTTTCAGGTGTACAGCAAAGTGATTCAGTTATACATATACATACCCATATATTTTCTTTTCCATTATATGTTATTATAAGAAATTGAATATAGATCCCTGTGCTATACAGTAGGCCCTTGTTATTTATCTATTTTATATATAGTAGTTTGTATCTGCTAATCCCAAACTCCTAATTTATCCCTCCCCTGACCTTTCCCCTTTGGTAACCATGGTTCGTTTTCTATGTTTGTAAGACTGTTTTTGGTTTATAAATAGGATTTGTATCATCTTTCTTTAGATATCATATATAACTGACATCATATGATATTTGTCTTCCTCTGTCTGACTTACTTCACTTAGTATGATAATCTCTAGGCCCATCCATGTTGCTGCAAGTGGCATTATTTCATTCTTTTTTATGGCTGAGTAATAGTGCATTGTATATATACATATACCATATGTATATATACATATATATACAACAGTCCATTGTACGTATACATATACATATATATATACACATATACATACGGTATATGTATATCCAGTTATTTGTTGATGAACATTTAGGTCATTTCCAAGTCTTGGCTATTGTAAATAATGCTACTGTGAACATTGGGGTGCATGTGTCTTTTTGAATTACAGTTTTCTCTGGCTATATGCCCAGGAGTGGGATTGCTGGATCATAAGTTAAATCTATTTTCAGTGTTTAAGGAACTCCATACTGTCCTCCACAGTGGCTGCATTAATTTACATTCCCACCAACAGTGAAGGAGGGTTCCTTTTTCTCCACACCCTCTCTAGCATTTATTATCTGTAGATGTTTTGATGATGGCCATTCTAATTGGTGTGAGGTGACACCACATTGTAGTTTTGATTTGCATTTCTGTAATTTTTAGCAATTGAGCATCTTTTCACGTGCCTATTGGCCATCTGTGTGTCTTCTTTGGAGAAATGTAAAATAGACCTGTTCTTGAGCCCTGGTGTGACAGAGGAAATCAACATATAAGGAACATTGTTTTACCAGCAGAGTAGAATAAAAGACCACAGAGAGCACGCTGGTTGGTTTGTTGGAGAAGGCTTAGGATTTGACTTTTGTGGGCCTAGAATAACTGCGAAGGAATAGATTTTTAAAAACACCTTGGTTGCAAAATGTGCAGTCTTTATGATGAAGGCCTAAAAAAGAAGCTGTGTGGTTAGGTATCCAAGATGGCTGTCCTCTTGCTCTCCGTGCATCCCCTCCGCGACCAGTGCCTTATTCACCGACACCCTGCTCTCATGACTGACCTTCCTATATATTTGCCTCAGGCCCTAGCTAGTGATTGTTCTGACCAAAGGGGCCTTGAAGGGCATGCCCCTCTGTTGTTTTCCCTGGTAACAAATGAGCTAACCTGATGTCAATTCCTGCTATAATTGCTAACCTCCTCCTGCCCTGGAAGCAAAGCCGGCAGCCATGTCCTGCCTGCCAGACCGCTGCACATGGTGGGGAGTCACTCCAGGACCTTGCTTCAGGCGTGTAAGATCCCCCATCCATGAAACCACTGCTGTCTCTGTTTTTGACTCGAGGTTCTTATTTGGTCTTGAAACTGGGCAAGCC